GGTGAGATCCGTGCGTCGCGACGCCAGTCGCCTCCTAGGGTCAATAGTTTTGCGCTCCGCGCGGCTCGGACGATTGGCTGGCTGGCTTTTAAAGTTTAAAGAGCCAACCCGGCGTCTAGCTTCCACAGTGACTCTCAACGTTTTTATTTACTCCCAAGGAGAGTTCTCGAACACCAGGGGGGCCAGCAGGCTCGACCAATGGGAAGCACGGAAATACGCGACGAGGAATTCGGACGAATGGAGGAGCCCCGCGAAATTACGACCAATCGTAGTCGCGAAGAACGAGAGCTGTCGGGGAAAAAAAAGAACAGGGCTAATCTCCATTAGGCTTCACGAACGTCTCAAGTACCACGAGGAAGAACCCGGAGTATCCCAGGAAGATATTTTGCACCATATAAGGCCTTCCTTAGCGGCATCCCACACGTCCTACGCGTCACCGTGTATCTCCCTTGGAACACGTGGACGAGCGCGTTTGCGACTCCAGCGACGCCCTTTTTACTTCCGTAGGTATTTCAAAATTTGCGCAATATTCGTTCCCATCTAAAATCGTCAATGCATTTTTTTATAAAAAAAAAAAAAAAAAAAAATATATACCGGGTCGTCCAAATTTCTCATGTACGTCGATTTCCCACGGGTTCACCGGGCGCCGTCGTGGGGCGTCGCGACGCTTCGCCCGAGCCCACCGCACCGTCCCTGGTCCATGATGTGTCCCATAATCCCGATAATACGTGTCACAACGGCGACTGCACATACTTGTCGCGTGACGTCCACACGACGGCACGAAAGACGTCGCAACGCCCGACGTAGACCGTATAGATATAGCAATAGACGCGAGGGAGATACATGGGTATAGGAGAGCGTATAGGAGAGATGAAAAGACGGGAGTAGACGAGGAGATTGGATGACGGACGTCTGGGATTTGCTACAGACCGAAATGTCGTTAAGCTTCGAGGGGAAAAAAAAAAAAAAAAAAACTTTTCACCATGAAAAACAACCTTTTTCCGCGCCGTCAGTATGCAGTAAAAATAAAACATCCCCGTCGTACGTCGCGCGTCCTTCGATCGGATCCTGGAATCAGGCATCGTCATTCGATTCGCATTAAACGCCCGTACGAGGAAGGAAGGAAGCGATGCAAAAATATGATTCAGGAGAGGAAAAAAAATGATCAGATGAGAATCGCTTAGTACACGGATACTGCGATGACGCATGCATTCCGATGCGTTGCCCGATGAAATTCGCATGTCGCGTCGGACATTCGAGCACTCGCGGATCGAACGGGTATCGATTCGTGTTAAACCGCAACCAACATGCTCGCCTCCCATTCCAAAGTCATACGTAACATGCCCGATAGATGTCTCCGTGTATATATATATATAGTGCTTGTGACCATCTATGCATATAAATTGTACAGCAAGCGTATGAGACCGACGCCCGTCTTCGTGGACGGTTCGCAATAGTGACGTCATTATACCCCAATTAGAAATGCAGCAGTAAAAGAATGCCAGTAACAAAATATTCATATTCCGGTAGCGTCGTAATTTTACCAGAGCTCCCGAAAAAAAAAAAAAAAAGAATTTTCACCAGCGTTTCGATATACGACGTGTGTCTATTACCGAAGCTGTTCTACGCGCGTGTTATGTATTGTGTATATATATACTATGTATATAAGATGGCTCATCGCGACAATTGCTGCAGAACGAAGGAGGAATACGTATAGCCAAGAGTCACGTGCGCGCACGAGAGACACGTCGGCCGAGACTGTCGCTGTGTGCGCGCGCATATCTCTTGCAATAGTGACGTCACTCCCAATACCTGTTGCATGTGAACTCGACTCGAGCCGGAATGTCTATTGGATGGAGGCCGCAGTGCTATTTAAGTCGTGCGTTCGAGAAATTCCGCGACAGCGCTTCCCTCGAGGATCACCTACCGTATCCGGTATTGACTTCCGGTGAGGAATTTAACAGCGCTAGCAGGAGGATCGGGTCTTTTTGGCAATCGTGTATAATGTTAGCAATAACGTAAATAGATGAAATGGATAAAGCTAAACATTTTTACAAAAGTATTAACGCCTATATTCGGGTTAGGGGACGCGCGTTGTAGTCTGGGATACCGGGGGACGTCGGGAAAGAGGAAAAGCATAATGTTTCAAGAGAAACGTGTGTTTACTATACAGCGTGCCAGAATCCAATTACGTAACGCAAGACAAGCCTTGGTGCTCGGCCATTTTTAAAGGTCTGCGGCATCTCGAACGATAATTGATAGTCGGCAACGATGATACCCTTTACCTGTTGGTAATTATTGTGCCGGGCCGCGAGATAAGATTAGAGACGGTAGCTCGTGGGTGCGCGCGCATCCCGAGGGGAAGTTATTCGTGTACGGGATTGAGGGGAGGTAGAGGGGAAATCATTGGAGGGGAAGGGGGGGCGAGAGGACAGAGAGTTCCAGTTCGCTAAAAGCGGACGAGGGGAGGGAGGAAAAAACTCGATATCCGGAAGTGAGCGTCGGCCGCCGACTATCCCGCTGCGAGAATTCACGAAAATAGACAGAGAAGGAGGAAGGAGGGGGAGGCGAGACGTCAGGAACGACGAAGACCCTTCCGAGCTCGTCTGATTTGGAAAGCTGCCAGTTGCCGGTGCGAAAGTTTCGACTGCCCGAAAGCCCTAGCGCCACGCAAGAGAGTCCTCGGCAAACGCCATAACCCAAAAGGCCAACTTCCGGTGGCTGCAGCCGTCTCTTTTGACGCGGCGAGGAATCTTCGGGATTGAAATATTTTTCTTTCATCGATTCGCACCTTCATCCGGCCCCCTTATGGGTCTTCCGGTTGGTCTAACGTCGCGATCCCCGTAGAATCCCGAGAAGCCAGAGTCCCCCTTCTGGAGAAGCCCGGAAGTCGTTCCGCGCGCCACCACTTGGTGACCGTTGGTTTCCGTAAAAATGTACGTAGCCCGTTAACCCAGATTACCAGCCGCTAGTCCAATTCTTTTAATACAGATGGATGGCTCACGTGCCCGTATTTTCGTATACGTCAAACACTGCGAAGAACTTCGTCGCCGATGGATCGAGAGGCACCACGTGTCACGCTAATTATTCACCGTCACCGATGGGGACGAGGAGTATTGACTTTTTCTCTTTCTTTCGGATGATTAACCTCAAAAACATTGAAAGACGCTCGTATCTCCTCGCGCGAGTTAGATTCTCGGAGGAATAAAAAGAGAGGCGAAAGAAAAAAAAAAAAAACAGAAAAAATTTCCTCTCCGCACGGTAATTAAGATAATTACAAAGTTGAAACTGTTAACGGGCGGAGATAAGAGGGGGGGCGAAGGGGATACTCGCGAATCCTCGCGATTGTATGCGGCAAATTTGGCGCGTGGAGCCGAACGAGTATAATGAGAGGCGGAGAAGGCGGAGAGACAGGGCGAGAAAAATTATCGCTTGTAAGATTGATAAAAGGCAAACAGCCACACGAGCGATGATAACCACGGACACGAGGACTGTTCCGAAATCTGTCGGGGTCTCAGGGATTCTCAACTCCGACGATGTGCAAAAGGTTTGAAAAAATTGGCGTGTACCTCCGAGCCGTTACGGTTCGCTGATAAAGAGAAGGCAAACCTCGCGCTGCTGCTGGTGCTGCCAGTGGCGATGGCGATAGCTGGTGGTTCGAGTATGCGAGTCCCTAAGCCGCCGTACGCTACGTAACGCGAGAGACGAGCGTAAACTTGATTCCTATATGTTTTCGACGTGACGTTAAAAGACGTTTTCATTTTTACGATTTGTAGTTTGCGGTTAGACCGGAGCTTAAGCGCCGCCTCCATTTTGTACTTGGACGGCAAAGTGGCAGCCCTGCTTTGTGACAATGGCTTAGGGGAGAGTCAGGCATTTGGGAGCCACTGTGCTAGAATGCCGGCGGCATACAGAAATAGACTTAGGGGCCTTACCAAGCACTTTTCGCATTTATATAACTTCCCCAAATTTATGGTCTTTATCTATTTAATTATATACATACGCGGATTTATTTGCGCTATTTGGCAAGATCAAACGACCGTTCGAGTCCGTCGCGCGTGTATGTAGAAATGTCCATGTACATGTGTCTATGTGCTGCACGGTGCATTAACCCTTGGTTCGTTAGCCGAGGTAACCTCAAACATCTACAACCCCGTTGGATGCGGATTTTCGTATTTTTTAAAATAAAAATCAGACGCGGGATTTGGACTGAGATAAGTTTATTTTCATAACAAGAATTCCTGTTCCACGTGTTTCGGCCAGTTTTAAGAATTGACCGTTTAATCCGGTGAAGCGATAAGACGGTCGCGTCAGTTTGGCAGCCAAAGACTAACGGAAGGCAGGCAGAACGCGAGAGGATAAGGAGAAACCATTGACGGCGTATATAACGTATGTCGTTTGTGGAAAATAAAAAAATCTTTCTACGCCAATGATATTGGGGCCAAGAAGTCTTGGTCTTTGCTCTTGCCGAGCTATTAAGAGATTTCGTTCACGTTGTCTTCACCATACTTGCGAATCCTCAATGATGCTACGACGAAAGTTGCGCGGTTGTCGCGAGTCACGACACCTGCGACCAATCCGATGTCAAAAGGAGAAGCGAACGTTATTGTTACGGATTTCGAATTTTCTATAAGACGAAAACTAGTCGCGATGTATTCGGGGACGTAATAATTGGCTGGATTTTAATTGGAATTAATAGCAAGCTCTCGCTTGGCCGGAAGCCGAGGATCGCAGGCCTTCCGATTCCGGGTTCTCTGGGCGCATGCGCACTGAACGACACGTACTGTACGAGTCTCTCGGAATTCGTAGAAAAAAGGATCGAGCTTCGGTAAAGACACTTTTGACAACAAAGGATTAGGAGTGGAGAAAATAAGAACAAAGAGGGTCGAGGGAAAGAACTGGTAGACAAAACAAGTGAGGAATTTTCATGGAACGACCGTTGGCAGTTTTTAAAAGTAACCGACGATCGCCAAGAAATAAAAAGTACAAATATGTCTTACCCAGCATTGTCCCTTTGTTCAACCCAGAGCAGGAATCCTCGTCGAATCTTCCAGTTTATGAATCGTTGAATTATCCCCGAGTCATTGGATTGCCAACGCGCGTTCACTTCCAAAATATAATCCCATTTCAAGAAACCAATAGGACCGCTGGTACGTTGAGTCTCGAACGAATCTTCATGTAGAATTTTTTGGTAAAACGAACACGAGCCAGAGCTAAATTTTTTCACGCAGCTTGTTTGGGAAACAACCCTTACGCGACACGAGTCCAGGACGAAGGATGGCAGAAGGTCCTTGTAGGAGAGCCAATCAGTGACACAGGCAAGGAATGAGTGGGTGAGCGAGAGAGTGAAAAAGCAACTGAGTGAACGAGTGAGTGAGAGGACTAGTAACTTGGAGAAAAGGGGCTTTCGCGCGAGCGAGAAGGTGGAAACTGTCAGCTACGTTTCAGAGACGGCCGGCTGGCGGACGAGGACTGAGTGTTCGAGGAGCCGTTCGCTTGCGGACCCCCTCTCTACACCTTCGCGACTTGGTGCCGCTTACGGGAGAACGGCCGCCGAGTCGGGACGTCGAGGGAGATGCCTACGGCGCGAATATGCCGTAATGATTGTGCCTGAAAATCCTTTATTCTTAAGGGCGTTTTATGTGGAGGGTTGCTGTCGTATATAGGGACGTTCCAGACGTAATTACTTGTATGATTTTTACGTGGCACGCGGTAAAGATGCTAAAAATATTTTTGCGATTCGCAAAAGGAACACAGCGCGCTCTGATGGCTGTCTGCCGAAACGTTCCCGAACAAAATGGCCGTACCTCCTCCAATCCGAGATACATACCTTGGATTTCACCTTTTTTCACGACCCGAACGATTCTTTTGCAGATTTTCAGTGTTTTATAGGCTTTTTCACTGTTATTACTTTCGGGTAAATACCACTTTTTAAACTTTTACGGACTTTATCGCGATCGTCTATCGGTGATAAGTAACACGCAATTTGTCGGTGGCCTTCGGCATAGTCAAATGTCTGGCTGGTCAAATGTGCGGCTAAATGCAATGAAATGTTGTGATTTTTGATTGATTTTCATTTTTTAAGTTCCCCTACTCGTTTATAAATCTTAAATGTTTTTTTCATGTAACTCTTTCTAATTGATATCTCACATAAAAGTCGGCCACGTCGGCATCGTCTCTTCGCCTACGAATTTCATATAATTTAACATGAATAATTAAAAAATTTCGATTCTTTTTCTTAGTCTCGTGATTTTTTCATAACAGAGAGTGTTTCCGTGCAGTCAACTTAATGCGCAATTCGCTCGTGGCCTTCGGAATTGGCCGAATTCGTTGCTGGTCAAACGAGCACCTAAATTGCAAGAATTTTCGTAAATCTTATAAAAATCATAAACTTTCCACCAAGCGCCGTCATAATAAATCATAAAAGTAATTTTCATTGCAATATTTCCCAAGAAAATCGCGTTTATCGCTGATTTCGAACTCGGAAAAAATATGTAAATTTTTAAAACACCATATCGTTCCAAAAATTCCAAATAACACGATCGTCAAAAAAAGTAAAAAAATTTTTTTTCCAAAACGCTCCCATTCCACGACGAAACCTTGTTGCGCAGTACGCATGGCGATGCGGCAACGTGTCACTGACAGCGCCCGATGAACCAGCTATGAAAATTAGCGGGAATTTTAAAAAAAGTCCAAACAATCATAATCCCAAAATCAAGTGGCAACTAAATAAAAAAATTTTATGAAAATTCGTCACGCAACATTTGAGAAGAAAATCTCACTCAAGACCATACCCGAAAAAAGGTCCATGCTCCGCAGTCTCGCAGACTCCCTCGCAGCTCCGCCAGAAACAACAGGGCGACAGCGATAAAAAATTTGAAATTTTTTAAGCGTCCCGAGCATCGCGAATAATCCCAATTCGAAAATCTTATCACAGATCCTATCACGAGCAGAGAAACCAAGGAAGAACGAATAGACGGAATAGATGCATAAGATTGTCGATGAAAAAAAGGCTGCTGAGTTATTCGCAGGTTAACAAGATTCGACAAAATTTGCCTAAAGGTCAATGTCGGTAGACGAATCTGCCGGCCATGAAAATCCCATGAATTATTGAGAGCACGTATGTATACCTATATGGGGCTGGTCTCATTGCTGGTGCCAGGATGAAGCCCATATGTTTTTTCCCCCCGAAATAGCGATTCGGCAAGGTGTACCTTGCACCTATAAGGACAGGTCGGCCTGGATCGGCTTTTCGGAAAGGGGCGAAAAACCGAGTAAAAAAGTACGAGAAATACGGTAAAGCGAGAGATGCCAAAGACAGTCGGAACAAGTAGGTACCGAGTGGACAACGCGTGGATGACTTTAGAAAAATCAATCGAAAAGGAAAAAACATATTTTTCATTTTTATCCAATAAATTAGCCTAGTCTGCGTCAACAATACATTTAAATAGATATATACGCTTATATGCTTACTTTAACTATGATTTGCTCGTATGACTCCAGACACGTGATTTTCGCGTGTTACCCAAGTGCCACCCAGATACGTTTAATATTTGTGCCATTATAACACGTGCTAATTACCAGATCGAACTTAACCGGATGATCGAGCGCAGTAAATAATGAAATTTTTTTTTTTAATGAATTTCACGAAAATCCATATTACGTATAACATAATACGAGAAACACAAAAATTCAAGGTTTTGCGCTATAACGTTTATTCCCAGTAGCCATTCCATGTAATCTGTCGATCTAGTAAAAATTTCAAAAAAAAAAGGGTTAATCAAGATCAGTACAGTAGGGTGATATGGTGGTACGGTAGGAGCCAGCTCGAAATATCGCAGACGAATAAAATGGTCGCGGCGACGCCGGCGGCGCATGAAAATAGAAAATAGAAATGGATATAGAAATAGAGTGAAGCAGTATAGTGGTAGTACGAGCAGCAGTAGCGGTAACGGGAGAAACAGCATCCTGAGGATGGTGAGACGATAAAGACAAAAGGAAACATAAGGAAGGTCAAAGATAAAAAAGGTATTAGTGACGTCACTCATTTAATTGTAAATTACATTCCACGATGCAATTTCAAAAATAATAATCCCGGACGTACCAAAAAGACGCGTTTCGGAAATGAAACGACCTGTAGGATTGGGCAGGATAAAAAACCCGATTAAAGGCACGTTTATCCAGGTGGCCGATTAAATTTTATTTAACGAAGTATCATTTTGATAATTTGAAGAAAAAAAAGTGAATATAAGGTAAGAAAAGGACATAGAATTATTTCAATGACCGTTTCTCACCCTGAGCTGGTAAGAGACCATTGCAAGGGTATATGGAGACTGTGCGAGAGAGAGAGAGATATATATATACTGGGAGTTCGAGCGAGACGGGGATACCGGGATAGGGATATCTAATTAAACGATGAATTATACATGATGCATCCAGGCGATTAGAGGCACCCTGTAGACGGGCAGACGGAGGAGTTACACTTCCTCGAATGCGGCATCCTGCCGAGCATCTACTGTCCTATCGTAATAGGAGTCGAGGCATTGATCGGCTAGTGGAGGAAGGGCCAATACTTTTACACCGACGACTTCCTTCCTCCGTTGGAACGGCCGAGTAAACGCGAGTACTACTTGCTTTGCTACTGGCGAAGGTCTTGGTGCTTTCATTCATAAAGTTAGGTATTTTAGCAGGGGGGGGGGGGGGGGGGGGGGGGGGGGGGGGGGGGAGGTACTGGTAAAAACAATGCACGGCATCTACCCACGACGTACGACTACCGTAGTACGTCAATAGGTATATTTCATATTAATGTCGGTAACGTAGAAATCGTTGACGGTTAAATGGTATTTTAAAATAGATTTTTGATAAAATTTCACGAAATTTTAATATCTTGTATGCGAGGGTCGATCGTTCAATTTGACCGGAGGTTCACGAAACGGCTGTGCATTCGTCTAGTCTACGACTTGAAAGGGCGGTGACCCGCGAATGCCTGGCCGGAACTCGACGACTTCCGGTGCTGTTCCGCCGACGATCGTTTCTATATATATAAAGCCTTAGGCCTTAGGCGAATACACGCGTCTGCTACCACGTGCGCGCTGCACTGCCAATTCGAGATTACGTGTCTCTCTCGGGCAACCCTTAGTAGGTAGGCTGTGCAACGATCGTGGAATATCTTGATCAGGCAACTTTTTTTTTCTATATCTGAAAAGATATTCCAAGAATTGATTTTTTTTTTCGTTCCAAAATTTTACTTTCTTTACTTCAATTAGGAAAAATCGAGCATACCCATCGCGATTGGTCGTGAACGTCAAAATATTTCGGTTCTGTATAGGTTGAATGGATGGAGAAGGGGATAGAAGAAAAAATAGTGAACAGTTGAAGAGGGCGATAAGGAGGAATTTTGTGGGGTTTAAGAGAGAGAGAAAAAAAGGGGAGACGAAGAGAGAGCAAAAGAGACGGAGACGTGAAAGGGCCACGTGGATGCCGACCCAATCGCATTCCATCGAGTAAAAATTTCGTGAGAGAAGAAAGTGCCCCGAGATGAAATTTCTGTCGATTGTACAATTCGAAAAAGTAAATCGTACCGCGACTAATATCTGGCCGGTTTCGCGGAAACCGATGAAAGGAGTTCCGGTGCGTTGGCATAGCAGCGAGACGTAATAGAAGCTGGCGAGAAGCGTAAGGGAACGAAAGGAGGGAAATCCCATTCCCAGGAATTCCATGAAAGAATACTCGAATTCCAAAGCGGCGCTGGCGCCGCGACGAAGCGATTCGTGCGGGCGTCGATCGTCGTTTCTTGTCGTGGCGATCAAGCGCGGCCGTCGGCTTTCCTAACGGCGCCAGGTCCTTTAAATAATTGCTTTGCGAGCGTTAAAATAGTCCGTGGCCTTTTTGCCGAAGCGCTTGGACCGACACTCGGAGGAGGAAATTCCTTAACGCCAGCGAGAGAGCAAGAGGGAGTTGGTTCCGTGTAGCCAGAGGAGCCAGAGCACGAGGATTGGATCAGATCGTGCAACGGGTACGAGTACGAATTCCTCGAGACTTTATTTTACATTATTTAGACTCTGACGTCGGATATTCGTATATGATTTATTAGATTCACTTTGCTTTTCCTGATCATCCTGTGGATCATCCTACCAGGCCTTTACGACGGGCGATAGAAAAGCCTCGTGGAGGATCACGGGAATAGCGAGGCCCAGGGCGAAATGGTTTTAAAAAATCTCCCTGTTGATAAGCAACGAGAACAAAAAGGTTATGTCAGGTAGTTACTCACTCGAGAGAGCTGCGGGAAGAAAAGGCCCCTCTTAACTTCATTCCTTCTCCACCGCCGCCACCGTTTCCTCCCTCCCTCTTCTTCTTCTTCTGCGGCATGCCGCATTCCAGAGCGCATCGGAAGGACGTCGACTGGAACCTTATTCTCCAAAATGTTCTTTCTTATCGTATTTCTTCACTGGACGGAAGTGCGTCCAAGTAGCACGAGGCTCTGAGTCTCGTTTTTCGATATAGATATAAATATGCGTCTGAGAACCGGACGTGGAGAAATATTCAAAAGGAATTGGAATTGGGGTGTACGCCCCTGAGAACACTCGTCTAATTTTCTAAAATTCATTTTACATACGGACCAGTCCTTTGTAACGCAGCATTGGCAGAAGTTTGCAAGCCTTTCCTCCCGTTCAATTGGCCGCTTCCTACGACTTCCGGTTCTCGTTTGAGGTCGTTGATCATTTCTTTGTCGGAAGTTCGTTGCCTGTCACTTTGCGCGCTTACAATCAGGGTGGTTTAAAATGTTGCCACGAAATTTTCACGAGTGTCGGACGAGCTGATAATGGAAGATAAAAAATTGCCCAACTTCAAAATCACAACTGTACCGAGTACCGATGAAAAATTATTGCAAATTACATTAAGGGATACTTGAGGATTGCTGCACGAGAACGGAGGTAAAGATTACGTGATAGCCGTAAGGAGCGCAGGAGTCCAAAGATGGCAGTAAATGCGACGGTTGAAGAAGGAAAAAGGTATCAAGGGACTCTACTCGCCAGCACCCCGCACACGTGCGAATCGTGTATTCGTATTTTCCAACACGAGTCAAAGACGACTAGGTTAGGTACAAAACGTAACTATATCAAAGTGTCGCAACGCTAGTGCGAACCACGAGTCACAGGAAACTATCCTCCAGAGTGCGCTGTGCCTTAAAGCTCCGTCCACAAGGAGGGTTGCGAGGAAGCGAAAACTCTCGTATAAAACTCCATTCCCAACGGTCCTCGATATTCCGTGAGGACGTCAAAATCCCAAAGAGTCCTGTCTGCTGCAACGTATCCAGAAGAGCAGTAGCTGTCGCTCGGCATAGAAACTCCGCGATAGGTCTTGAATTCGTACCGTGTGCACGTACAACTTAACGTATCTACATATATACTGGAGAGTGTACAGTGACGTATATCGATAAGAACACAAGAGACGGTAGACACGTAGAGGCAGCCAGTGCAACGAGTGCAACGAGTGCAACGCAGCCAGACACGTGTGAGCGAACAACGCGAAGTACATCGGAAGACTGCTGCAGGCGCAACGGTTCGTTCACTCTGCGCTTTCCTATGCACCCCCCACCCTGCTGGCAGCCCTTAACTTTACTTCGCCAGAGAACCAGAGAGACCGATTACCGCACTACGACGCTACTCCACTCCCCTGAAACAGCCCGACGTCCTTCTCCCTCCTTTACCCTCGATCGTTCGCCCTCTCTCTCTCACTCTCTTGCACTCGTTACTCGCTTCAGCGTGCAACGTGGCGACTGCGCAGACTGTCTTTTCCTCCTTTGTCATTCGCTCTGTCTCGCTTACTCTTCATGTTTTAAGCTTGATCCCACAATCGGCATCCTTCTTCATCTTTTTCTCCAACCGTTCCGTCTAGCACTCCACGACTATTCGACCCTTGGCTGTTTTTCCATTCATGCTGTGCCACGACGGCTGCGACGACTACGGGGTTGCTCGGGCGACTGTGCTGACATCTGTGTTGCTTTTTGACAAATACCTTTTTCACGGAGTCCACGTGCACTCCTTGAGGAATGGTTTGTGGCGAAATTTAATTTTTTGAATATGACAATAAGCATTTTCAGGGTTAACAAAGCAGATGGGATTCTTCGGGTTGCGGGGATAGCCTGGTTCACAAAATTCCAATAATTCATAATAATTGTTTGTCAATAATCTTGTAATCTGTACGATGGGCGTGAGAGCACCTTTATTTTGAGCTATAACAATGTCATTGTTTCGCATAGAAAATTACGCCGTCGCAATCTGCAATTTTTAATTACAGAGAGCGTTATTTATCAGCCCATAAATAATATAGTCTATTGACAAATCGTAAGTACATCACGTAGGAGTTGTCACTGTAGGAATATCTATTGACTATACATAATAGTTGTTGGCTGGTAGCAAAAGGTACATTGTAAACATGACAGGAGGATCGTTCTTACATATAATACATAGAAGTAACAAAATGAAGGCAAATGCTTCTCTTGTGACAATTAATTTGTGACCGAGTTAATTATAAACATTAAACTTGATTAATAATAAATAAACCAATCGATCCCAGGTCAGATTCACATATCCGTCGTGGAGATCCATAAGAAATCCAAAACGAAATCCCAAATTGAATTTCACTGAATTTTATTCCTACTGTCTCTTGGATCTACCGGGAATCATATTACGTTAAAATTTATCCCGCTTTCAATTTGTATGCTATATTTACCTACGCACATAATTATATCCGTATTGCTATCACGTTATAGTACATAGCACTCTGTAGTAGCTCGTATCGAAAATATATTTCTTATGTAGAACATTTTGCACTTTTATTATGCATCGTCGAGATAATAACAAGAGACACGCTTAATAATTCCATCGATATTTTACAAATACTCGAATGCTTAATCAACAATCTTTTTTTTCCCTTTCGCAAGTGCCTTCGCAAGTAATGAATTATGTATTTAGAATTATACATACCGCTAGTCAATTGACGCAATTAATTAATGCAAGTGCATAATAAATCTAGTAGCAATAATAATTTTTCTTCTAAATAAATGCGCAGTGATAACTGATAGGTTATCCACAAAACGCTTTTTTTTTGACATATTAATAATACATAATTACATATATATGTATATGTACATGTCATATATAAATACCATCGCTATATACAATCGGGATATGTCTTTGGAATTGTTCCCGGGCCACTAAAAAGTTTTTAGGTCAATTTTGAAAGTCTGTCAAAATAATCTAAACGCACGTCTAAACGTTAACAATAGGTTCTAGTACGTCAAGTCAGACGTTACAAAGGAAGCATCTCCTGGCTAAATGATATATCCTTAATTATTCGCATAAAATCAATATATTAATTTTCCTTTTTTTCCCCCTAGAATAATTTATCCGCATAAACCTAGTACGGTCGGCCTCCAATAACCAGCTGACAAGTCCAATAAGTCCGTTAACCAATAAAGGAGCTACTCATGGATTTTGATTGGATCGTCGTCAATTAATGAAAGTGTCCTTAATCGTAACTTCAGTTACTTGAATTGAACTATCTGACAACCAGCACCTGGTGCCACCCTGTATATACGTATTGCCTCGACGATGCACATCTTAACGATAACCAATAGCCTATTTAATAGATTAGATGCTAACTCATGAGGCATCGATCCGGTCGTTTCATCCTTCTTCTGTCTTTATAGACTTTTCTTATTAATAATCCTAATACAATATTACTGATCCGTCAACGGGATATCAGACGTGTTTACTAATTATTAAGGAACCTTAAAAATAGGGATTGGCAAGTTTGCCAAAAATCTTGTAGGACCGACGACTGTAGAAAATACTGAAATCGTCCTGCCGAATGGAAATGTCTCACCGGATTGAACGCAAAGACGAGATTGGCAGCTGGCAATGACTTTTCAGCTACCAGCAGTTGGCAGCGCTTAGGCAGCTTAAGCGAGTCCAACGTCGAGGGACATCATCACGAGGAATCCAAGAACGGCGCCCCAGCTGGCTAGTTTTCCATTTCCACTGAGAATCAAAGTAAGTCTGGTTAATCATCAGAGTAACAAGTCATACCAGTAATGCTAGAGTATAAGGAACACTCTAGGCCTAACTCTGCAACCTCAGCAATGGGTTCGCTACCTCAGAGCCAGAGCTGACAATGGAGATGGGGGTACGGTGCAGAATGAAAGGGTTCCTGTGGGCCAATTAAGCAACTGTCGTTACCACCACCTATGTATATCGCACTTATTCGCACGTCACGGGTTGTTGATTTTTCAAATTACACACAACCGTCATTTTCAGCCCCGCGCGAAACCCACTGTTGTGTTTCGGTAGCTGTTCTGCCACATCAATCATAGCCCAGCTAAATGTACGTGCCCACCTAGCCCTGCCTGATTTGCGCCATTAGACGTTCAAAATTATCATTATTATTTAAAGACACCCAATTCAGCTTTCAGCACGATCAGATTTTCAGGGATCGACATCCCGTAGCCAGGCACCCTCAAGGGAAGCTGCAGCGTTTCTATGAAAGAATTCCTGAGCGGCAGAGGATCCTTGTCCTAAGGATTTTTGGGTCTAAACCTTCCAAGAAATGGAGTCAACGTGCGAGATCTCACTGAGCCAGTGGATCGCTCGAGTTTCGAAAATCCTCCTTGTATCTCCGAGTTCCTGGTATTCTCGTTCCAGGAAGACAGTCCATAGATGCCGTGGGTACCGGGTCCTTTAGGTGTATGGGATGCTGGGTCCACGAGGCAGTCGCAATCAGTTGGAAGGACTGCCCGATAGGAAGGATCACGGGATCACAAGGGGATGATGGGAAGGAGGTCCACATGGTTGGAAGAAGAAAAAAAAAGAATCTTTTGCTATCTCCCATGCCTTTGGTCGATACTCTTGGTGAGTTTGCCAGGCAACCGTTTCCTGGAAGAGGGATCTATTTTCACTTTTGTGTTTTTCCCGATGGGGTCCCGAGGGAGCGCACGGCGCTGGAGTATCTCAGGATTCACGTCTCCGACTTCCTCGCTCGAGGAGAGTCGGGCTGGATCGCATGCGAAATACAATGAAGCCAATTATAATGACAATGACGGTTGGCTTGGCTCGGGGCCTGGGAAAAAATTCGCCACGTCCGTTCCCCGCTAACTAGTTACGGCACTGGAGGTGCCCGGTTAGTTTTCGGTTCGTGGCTCCTGGTTCTCCGTTTGCGGTTCCTTGGTCTCGCGATAAGGACGCAGGTCCGCGAACACTCCATGGACATTGTAGATCCCTACGCGCACGAACGTACAGTCTACATACGCTTTCGACATTGTGTTGTGAAAAATCGAAAAAGTATGACGAAAAAAAAAAAAAAAAAAAAAAAAAAAAGGAAAAAAAAATTAAAAAAAAAAAAAAAAAAAAAAAAAAAAAAAAAAAAAAGAAAGAAAACGATCCCAGGACCTTTTACCTCTTTAGTCAAACAATTGTCTCCTTTCGCCACCAGAAATCCAAAGGCTCAACGTGTACTGGCTATTGGCTCGGGGAACGAGTTATCCGGTAGGAAATGCGAACGACCCCCGGAGGAACCAGGGAAGTAAGGGAGCTCCAAATAAAAAGCTATTGTACCGGTGGGAAAAGCCACGTTGGCCCTTACGATTCCGAGGATACCGCGGCATTCTAATTCATTTTGAATGGGCTCGGAGGGTGAAACGTGAGACGGAAACGGGTGCAAGTGCAACGGGTCGCTGGAAGCAGACGCTGGTTTAAGAATACAAGGGAGTGAGAGAGAGATAGAGAAAGAGAGAAAAATATACTAAAACCGGAACCAGTTAAAGGAACGAGCCGCTGTGGCCTCATTCCTCCTCGCAGACTTGACCCTCTTCTTCTTTTTTTCCATTATCCTTTTTTTTTCACAAACACATCCATCCGTTCATCCTTCCTCCTCTTCGTACGTTAACAAGTCTTCGCAACAACGTTTCTTGCACAAATATATTTCATGCTTTGGCCAGAATCCATATTCTACATTGTGAATTCGAAAACCCATAAATTCTCCTTTTGGATTCTCTCAATAGACACAAGAAGACTTCAGAGAGGAATGAGAGACCGCACGGCGCTAGACTCTCTAGCACGAGGTAGCTCTAGTTTTGTTAGAGAATGAGAGAGGTAACGAGAGGTGCTAGTTTGCTCTCTCTCTCTCTCTCTCTCTCTCTCTCTCTCTCTCTCTCTCTCTCTCTCTCTCTCCCTCTCTCCCCCTCGTCTCTCATCTACCTAGCTCTTTCAAACGGACTAGTTCTCGGGGTTGACTGAACTCCTATCGCAGAGTCATGCCGCTACGTGCACGAGTCGAGTATGAGCTATGAGCCAGTGAGGCAGTCAGCTAGTGAGGTACGTGAGGGCCTGTGGAAACACACGTAGCCAATGTGTGCGTCTACGTACATAAACCAGCTATCAAGCCACGGTTACAAAATCATTTCTAGATCTAGAGACACATGCTTTCCTCATTTTGAATTCCATGGCAAATACCCAAAACCCAATCTCCCCCCGTAGCAGAGGAGCCACGTCCACCATGGACCAGGGGACTGATCAGGGCAAGACCCAAATCCTCATGCACAGTGATGATCCTAACACTGATCCTTAGCAGCAATGACGTCTACCTCTGATGAGCTTCGGGTATGATGTCATCGATAACGACGTAGATCATCGCACCAGCAGCGAAGGAAAGGGCGTAGGGCAGGGCAGGTGCAGCAAGGGACACCCCAGCAGCGCCAATGACCCCAGCTATGGGTTCCACCATCCCCGAAAGTTGCCCGTACCAGAAACTCTTGAAGGTGCTGAACCCTGCGGCTTGCAGGGGCAACGCAACGGCCAGGCCCTCCGGGAAGTTCTGTATGCCAATGCCGATGGCCAGGTTTCTGAAAACGAAAGATACGTTGCTTTTACTTGGTGTTCCTTTAGTCCGGGTACCTTGATCCCTGTACAAGGTGATCGGACCTGGGTCGACTCGTGGGCGTAGTCAATGAATGAACCCAGGTTCATCGGATCTGATGAGGAATGACGGAATTCTTCGGGAACACCAGCAGCCATGGACGCGACGTGGAGGCTAGGCTACCAGGAGGCGAACGCATGGGTCCCGGCATGAGGAAGAGGTGGAGGAGATGGAAGAGGAGGTTCACCTGGCAGGTGAATGAATGACGTGATCACACGTCGCACGGCGCGGTATGTCATGGAATAGCATCGGATGGCATCGCACGAGATGCCGTGGCACTTCGTGGCGTCGCATTCCGCCGGCGGGTCGGTACATAAGCGGATGTACAGTTAACTCGGTGTCCCCGGCTGCTCGCCGATTGCATCGGGTACCGGGGGAGGTCATCAGGGTTCTAAGAATTATGCCTTTTCTCACTGGCCATCCTCCTTTCCCTCAGGCTCCCTACCACTTAGTCCATGACTTCCATTCTGCTGGGTACCTTTTGGGTACCCCCCACTTCGGTTTGCACCAACATCATTCAATTGTTCAGCTGAGCTTGCTCCTTCTATTTTACTATCAGTCGTGTGCCTCGAGTTTCTCTCACCAGAGGCGCGGAACTCTGGCCCCCGGTGCTCGGAGCTAACATTGTGGGTGGTTTTTGGGCCACTTTGAGGTGGTACCTCGTGTCCCGCTCGGAGGCCATTGTGAAATCGAGCGTTAACGACGTCCGCTCGAGAACACCGTTTAGAAGTGGGCAGACATGAACCTGACTGGGAGCCGTCCTTACGGAGAGCGGAGAGTCAAGAGTGTCAGGAGGAAGAAATTGAGAGTAGGAGGTATGGGCATAGTCACGAGTTAGGATCCGGGAGAAAGTATCGGACGGGTAGTTAGCACTTTCGGCGATTCGCCAATTTGCCAATTTATCTAATTTTACAGAAAAAACGCGTACTTTAGCATAGCGCCCAAGTACCGAGGTATTCTCACGCTTGATGAATCTCCTGCTGATCCTGACTTTGGAGAGGCATATATTTTTATTTTTATTTTTTTTCCTTAGAAAAAAGAAATTCCATGAATCCCATGAAAACACTTGTGGTAAGTCGAAGAAAGAAAATACACGTTGGTTTTCCAGGTAGCTGGAAGGAAATGGGCTCTGGAGTCGAGAAGAAAGAGAGAGAGGAGAGCGGTGGCCGACCGCAGATCTCAGAAGCGGCAATAACACCTTGTAAATTGACAGGGGCGTCGAGCCGTCTCGAGTCAAAAACCGAAGATTTCTCCCGGCAAATAAAAATCGCCCAGCCGGCGATTGGACATTGGTCGTCAGTCTTGATACGTCTGTACACACGGCGTATATACAGTACATACGTTATAAAGTTCGTAGCTCACTAGGGAACTAAGCATTGGTTACTAACGAATGGAATGAAGTTAATAGACATACACTTAGGAGCCAACGAAGTTGAGCACACTCGTGGACTCTCGAACGTACTACACGTACACAGTCGCTAGAAAGTATCGGAAAGTGACTTATGCAAATGGGAAATCGATAGACGGGGTCTCGGAGTCCCATTGGTGATATATCGGAGCCAGAATGAAATCCACCCTGGAATGAGGTCTCTGTAGTTGAGTAAAAAAAGAAAAAGAATGGCAAAGTCAATTTTCAAAGAAAAAAGCAACGAAGGGTATCTTAAACGAAAGTCGAGTCCAGGGGGTGCGCGGTGTAGGATACGTAGAGTACAGGGTATGCAGGGTTGATCTTATGGTTTTATGGCGTTAGCCGTTGCCGGTGGCCTCGGGACTCGGAGCTTGCCTTGGCGTTGGAGGAATGCGGGACCGGCAAATCGCGGTCGGCCCGCTTGCGCCTCGTTCCCATGCATTCCTTAACGTTCCTCCTTCCTCCTTCCTTCTTGGCCACCACTTCCACCTGATCCTCCGCGAGTACAAGACTCCTGCCTGCCTGACTGGCTAGCTGCCTGCCTCACTGCCTGGTCGCCTTCCTTCCTTCCTTCCTTTCCTGCGACCCAGGAGGCGTCTGCCCCGTTTTGAAAATTAAAAAAATTTTTTTTTCACAATTCCCAAAAATTCATTCCCACTCGTCATACGTTTCTTCCGTCCATGCCCCGTAAACCAGAAGAGTACCCGGGATATACGGAGCTCCGCGTAAAATGACATTAATTCCCGATTACCGTAGGTGAGTGGAAAACTGCAAATACACGGGGTCAGCAGCCGGCCTTGCCATAAGTACTACGCGCCACACGAAACTCGAGCTTCGACCATACTACGGTGGCTAATCGAGCCGTCGTAAAGCCGCGCTTAGGACTCTGCTCAAGTTTCGTCCTATCGGACCCCGTTGCGAACGGGGGCTTCTCCCTTTGCGCGAAAGACCCGGCTGGGTCAAGAAGGAAGAGGAGCCCGACGGAAGGGTCTCCAGGTTCGCGATGGCAGGAATATATAGAGGAGACGATCGTGAGGCCACAGCCGAGAGACATAACGGCTCCGACTGTCCGTCCGTTCCGAGTAAGGTACGCGGTACGCATGCGTAATGCCGTCGCATTCCTTGCATTGCTGCATCGGCTGCTGCTGCTGCTGCGAGAGAGACCCCCGTGCGTCAGAGGTTTGCTCTTCTCTTGTATTTTACTTACCACCCTCTCGCTTGCTCTACCCTCGCTGCCAATCTCTCTGTCTCTCTCGGTCTAGTGTCTACACGCACTTCCCGAAGATCATTGATAATACCCTCAGATTCTTCTATCCTTCTACCGGACCTCGTTTCATCCCGCTAGACCATACCCAATCCACTCGACTGATGTGCAGTAGGTCCTATTGATAACGAAAACTGATCTTGCTCGTTCCCCCCCGTCTCTCTACCCAGGTCTGTTGTATTCGCGAGGCACGCACGGCCGGCCGGAGACGAAAGACGATACGAGAAAAGTATCGGCGTGGAATGTCACTAGCTTAGAGAGAAGGTCTCGCGAGTCCAGTTCTCAGAAGCCACGTCGTCCCTGTACGCGACGCGGCCGCGCGCACCCGAGCGATTATAAAGTGCACAGGCAAATGGAAGATGTTTATCCTGGCGATCATGCTTCCCGGAATAATGAGTCTCCATGTCCATACTGGTGGCTGGCCATTGCCGATTGCTAGATATGGCTGTCTTACAGTGCTTGGTCTGTGTACTTTAAGGATTTTATTTGGAGCGGTGCCAACTTAAAAAAAAAATCTTCGAGTTCGGACCAAGATACTTTATGGAAAAAAAAATTATTATTTTGGAAATTTTTTTGTAAATTAATTTTGACCCATGCTTCCTAGTCGTAACCTCGTGCACACGGACAGGAGCGTTTACGAGCAATGAAGAGGATGTGACGTACCGTACCGACGCGACTGCTGTAATTATGAGCGAGTAGTATCGCCCCCTGCCTATAGGTAGCTTCACGGCTACCTAACCTACTAGGCTGAGAATCGAGAGTAGCGAGCGATAAGAGCGTCGGGCGTACGAGTCATGCAGCTACGAGGATCTACGGTCCATGTGCGTTTAGGTGTACGAAGTGATGACGGAGGAGAAAATTTTTAATGAAAATTCAGAAAATTAGTATTTAACCCGTTCTCAACTAGCTGACACGTGGCGCCATCTCTGGTTCATCCTTGACAATCGAATCGCGTTCCGGTCGCTGTCGCAGACTTTGCCAGCGCGGCGCATTCCTCGATGTATCTGCTAGCCCACATCTGGACTAGCATCCCCAGCCACCTCCCAGTCACCCCCTGACGACAGTGACGTCAGTTGGGCTTATTGTAACGTGCGTTCCTCAACATTAACATTCTCCATTGACAGGTAGCCTCCGCCAATCCTCCGAAGCTTCTTGCCAATATGGCCGCTCGTCCTCGTGTGTATATTCGACTATGTGTATACAATAATGGATGGGTGTCATTGACTGTACAGGTCTGTCCTAGCGTGTGTGCGGAGGTTGACGTGGAGTTCGGGGCTCGCTCTACCGTTCGCCGGAACTCGTACTATCGCACCCAACTTCCTTCGCTATTAGCTCACGTTAGAATTGGCTTTCCGTGTCGCGATAAGCGCGGGACAAAGTGCAGCGCTTAAATCGGCCGCGAGTGTTGCTCGTCGCTGCCGGGAGGAAATGAGAATTTCCGATAAACGTTTTTTCTTCTTGAAAGAAAAAAATTTGTAGAAAAAAAGAAAAAAGGATCGATACGAGCACCGCGCATCCGGTCGTAGCGATTTAACGATCCCAACTGGTATATCGGACCGTATGTGTACGAATGCAATTTTTTGGTCTGCGCTAGACAACAGTCGAGGAGTTGACCAGTCTCGTGAGTAAAATTACGTAAAAATGCGCCCCGAGCAAAAAGAGGCCCCCGACTCGAGCCAAACGATAAGTGTCTCGAACCTTCTAGAAGCTATTCGAACCTGGCCAATATTATGGTGCCGCTGCGAGGGGTGGAGAGGAGAAAAGAAAACTAGAGAGAGCGAGAGAGGAGGATAGGGGGAAAAGAGAGCGAAAGAAGGAGACGGTGGTCCTGCGGTGAGTACGCTCCTTGGCTATACTATAATAAGTAAGATGAAAGGATAGCGCTGAAATGAGATGGTTTCGTTGGCAGCTTTGTTCGACGCCATGTTTAACATAGCACCGCCGACATCAGCGTGGAAGCGGCGTGCACGCTGGCACGAGGCACGCGGAGAGTCCAGACGGTGCCAGAGCGCAGTTTGGACCCAGGTCCTCGTCCCCATCGGCAGCCTCCCAGTTGACTGGTCAAGTGAACGATCTTCATCCGAAGAGTCCTGGCGGCCATTGTGGTCGTCAATTTCCTTGGTAGGGTCCTATCGTAATATATATCTTGGCGAGGTAGACCG